TGCTAGAAAGTCAAAAATCAGTAGTCTGAAATGATCACTGCAGCCCCTAAAACAACTAATGCCATCTCAGTGAGAACACAATGGAGCATATTCATTATTCTCAGCAGAACGACACACATCAATATTTTTTTTTTCTTTTAGCTTCAGAGGAGAGACCAAAATTGAGTACAATTTAATGTAAGAACGTTTCTTACCAGAACACCCACTGCTCTCAGAACATTCTGGGAGAGAAGGTGTACCTAAAAAGTCAGAATAAGGAGGTTAGAAATAATCAAGGGCATCTTTCAGGGGTAGGAATTGAGGTAGAGGGAAGCAAGACCAGGGCTAACTGCAGATTCTTTATGTGAATTTGATTCTTGTTCTCACTGTTACCTAGATATACTTTGCTCCATTATTTCCCAGCTACGCTGGTAATTCCTTGTTATCCTTAATTCTGAACATAGCCACACCTGAAGTACTGCACCTTATGAGCAGAATAAAATAAACTGGAAAAGGCTAAAATATAGAAACAGACTTTCCACTGGAGTGTGGTTGTTGTGTGCATCAGCACCCACTAAGATGAGAAAACTCAGGCCAGCAGATAGGTTATGAGTACAGTAAATTGTGTGTGTGTGTGTGTGTGTTTTGTGGGATCGGACATAATGCATCTGGGGACTCCACATACATTCTCTTAGTATTTATAACTCTAGAAGGTGGGTAAGGGTGTCTAGACATCAAATACACAAAAGCTAGACCTAGGTGAGATTCAGACTAGGTGCATCAAGAATTAACCATGTAAATTGGTTAGCAGGTAGCAGGTTCTAGTTGTCTTCTGAAATGGGCCCAGATGACAAGACTCCAAACTCTGAGGATTCATTAACAAGAACAGGGTAGGGAATAACCCTGAAAGACATATATACTAAAGCATGTTATGAAGTCTACACACAAGCATAGGAATACACAAAATATTCATTTTAAGAGTAAAGCTATGATAATGAGAGTAAAATGAATCAAATTCCTGATCTATAGGGCAACCATAAAAATGCAAATTACAAACCAGGAATGTTTGGATAATGTTATTAATATTCCACTAGGAAAGCAGGTATAAACCAGGAATTTCAGAGTAAAGGGAAAAGAAAATGTTGAGAAAGTTCTTTGACCCAAAAGCAATTTGGGCAAATTGAGATATATGAGGATCCCAGTGATATATTGTCTACAAAATAATTCAAAGAAATATAGCTGAAAGAAAAAAATGCAAAAGTTGAAAACCTGATGTAGGAAATACTATTTTCTTTTCTTTTCTTGAGTTTTAATATTGGAAGAGATAAAGTGAAAAATCAGATGCACCAGAAGACATCTATGTGTTTTTTCTCTCTCTTAATGCAGTATCCAGCCAGGGGCTACATTATTGTTCCAGCAACAGCAACAGGCATGAAAACTCTCATGAGAAGTTACTCCAGAATATGGAAGAACAAAAGGGTAAATTTACCTCAGCACTGCAGCAGGACAGAGGATAATTTCAACAACAAACTCCTGTAATGCTTTGTTAGCTTCAGTTTCAGAGAGGGTCACGCTGTTGATGACACCCAAAGGATTTACTCAGGGTGTGCCCATGGGGACAAAGCCAGAGGCTATAACTTTTGGCTCATTAGATGTTCAGAGATCCAAGAAAGGAAAATCATATGTTAATCACCAGCATGATTGTGATATCACTCAAGAGTTCTCTAATTATTAACAGATTCACTTTCTAGCAGAAAGCTCTCTATGGGAGATATTCCCTCATCCCAAATGTAATCAAAGAAGGAATTGGTAAGCTGTCCCCAAATGCTGCTATTTTAGCTTCAGGCAGATACTTTTATCTGGGCTTCAATTTTGTAAATGTTGTGATGTTAAAGTCAGAAAGTTAGAAGAATTTTATTATAGATTTTTTTTATTTGGGTATCCAGGATAAACTCAGGGGTATTCGATCACTGAGCCACATCCCCAGCCCTATTTTCTATTTTATTTAGAGACAAGGTCTCACTGAGTTGCTTAGCACCTCACTTTTGCTGAGGCTGGCTTTGAACTCTCAATCATCCTGCCTCAGCCTTCCAAGCTGCTTGGATTGCAAACATGCACCACTGTCCCTGGCTAACTTTACATAGATCTTTGAAAAGACTTTTGAACAGCTCAAAACTCTACTTTGTCATTGCTGCAGTATTGTTCCTGGGTTTCCAGGTGTGGAGTCTGAATACTAACCTGGCACTGGCCAAATATTTTCATTAGTTATTCAGAACGACAACCTCAGTAGCAGTTATTTGGAGAGAGAAGAGATGTTGAATGTGGATTCTGTCTTTTACAATGAGGTCTTGTACTCTCTTAGCTTGTGAAATTCCATGTCCCCTCTCCCACGCTGTACAAAGCTTCTCTTCAAAGTTCACACTAGTGGGGATTTGGAGGATTAGAAATGCAGTATCCAACTAGGAGGGTTAGCCAGACCTTAAGTTAATGAACATCATGTCCTTAAGCATATAGGGTTTGACACTGCAGTGGCTGAACAAAGAATGTTGGGGTGAAGTAAAAAGAAAATGTTGAGAAGTTCTTTGACCCAAAAGCAATGTCAATCTTCCCCTCCATACATTCACAGACCTCTTCCTTTCTCTTTATTCTTACTAGCATTTAATCGCCATCCAAAACACTGTAAGTTTTACTTGTTGCTATCCATGAAGGAAAGATGTTTTTTATATTTTATTTTTAGTTGTAGTTGAACAAAATACCCTTATTTTATTTATTTATTTTTATGTGGTGCTGAAGATTGAACCTAGCGCCTTACATATGCTAGGTGAGTGCTCTACTGCTGAGCCACAACCCCAGCACGCACACCCCCGCCAAAGACTCTGTTTTGCAAGTTTCTGTCTCAGTGGCTGACACAAAGCCGACACTCAATGACATTTTTTTAATGAATGAATAAAGGAAGACAATCTCTCCTATCCATAAATATCATTCAATCTAGTTTTCCCTTAAAATTTAAGGTAAACAACTGAGAAAAGGAGTTTTCCAAAATCCTTCTTTCTCCACTAGGCCTGTAGGCTTTTGAACTGGAAAGTGACTCTTTTTTATGAAACTAAAGAACTCAAAGAAAATGCAGAAGTTGTGAAGTTAAGTGTGCAGATAAGGGAAAAGTAGAATAAATGAATTCATCCACATTTTGGAATTAAAAAGGAAAATCCAAGCTAATGTTCAGGAAAAAATTCATACTATAAAATTTCAAATTTGTTACATTTCTGCCACTTTTAATATCTGAATTGTTTTCCACCTGTCTGTCTTCACAGTAATAAATTCTTGAAACACATGAATCAAAAGTCTCAATGACAGCCAAGAAATAGAAAATGATGGGTACTATGTCCTAAGAAATAGGGGAAATTAGGAACTTTTAAAGGAAAGAGGGGGGAAAGCTAGCTTGATCACTGGAACCTCAGAAAGAAGACAAGAATATTAGAAACCGAGGGAAAACAACTTTCTAAACCTAAGAGCAGCTTAATGATTGCAGAGAGACAGCAGGCATTGAGATTCTGTAAGAAATGCCTCAAATAAATGATCATGCCCATTGTTTCTGAAAGGTGTACTGCCACCTCCTCTATCATCTCCCAATCCAAGCAGTGGTTTTATTCTGATGGTTTTCTCGCTTTAGTGATAATCTCAAAGTTTCTCTCTCCAGTCCCTTTTACTTGTATTCTAGAGCAAGGTCTCATAATTTTCCCACAAGGGCACATGTAATGTTTAAATCTGGGCAAACACATCTCTCCTCAAACATTTATCATTTCTTTGTGATAAAAGCATTCCAGAAACCATTCTTGTGGCTTTTTGAAGAATACAGTAAATTATCAATATCTATAAACACTCTACTGTGCAATAAAATACCCAGTTTTGAATGATTCCCATTCAAGTTATATTTTCAAACCATTCTTTGATTCTGTGCACAAATGTGCAAAATAAGTGTAAATTCCATAAGTAAAGAGACAGAAATGTATCTTATTCACAGCCAAATCCAAAACAAGTAGCACAGTACCTGTGCTTTACAAAAATGTAAATATTTGTGTTCCACAAATCTATGAAACTATATGGATTGCAATCATAATGTAAAAAATATCAGAATGCTCATAACCCAATGCATACATGAATCAAAGCATCACATTGTACCTCATAAATATAAGCAATACATGTCAACCAGAAAATAAAATTAATTTTAAAATTTACCATGAAAGTTTTTCTTTCTTAGATACTGAAATTTAAATATATATATATATATATATATATATATATATATATATATAAAGAGCAGAAAAAAAATCCATGCATCTAATGAAGCAGACAGCATTACAGGGCATAAAGGGAAGTACATACCCTCATCATGCCACATAGGATCCTGCATCTTCTAGCCCTTCCTCTGTTCCCACATCTGCTACTTCATGCTTCCCAGGAGGCTTCAGCTGTACTTGGCTGCATGATGCTGTCCACATTTGTACTGCCATGTCACTCCACTATTCCAGATTTCTCAATGTGATAGTTCTATATTATTGCCATCTTTTCATTTCTAGGGCAAAGTACAATTCCTGACATACAGCTAAACACATTAACTATTAATTGTCTAAATTTATGTATAAGGCAATGGCACTGAATTTAAGGCTCATTTCTTTCAAATTCATACTTACCTAATAGATCTTTTGTGAGGACTAAATACAAAAATGCATTTAAGCATGCCTGGCACACAGTAGGTGCTCAAAAATTGAATAGTTATTAACTATTATCAATATAAGAATGTACAAATGGATTTGATCCCTCAGTCACAATCACCTTAATATGTCCCATTCTGTCCCATTCACTGCCTTAAGATAAGAAAAAGTTTTATAAAGTAATTTGGAACCCTTTATTACCAGACAAACATGTATTATTATTACTATTATTATAATGATGATAATGATCATGTGCATTTTCTTTGAGAATCTTGCCTATAATATGCTCATCCTCTAAAGTCACATTACCTTTGCTGATGTTTCAAACCATCCTACGAAACCATGCTCCTTGCAGAACTGGTCCATCTTGAGGCCATTGTTCATGAGCACATCCTTCCCCTGGTCACATTTGTTGGCCAATAAAACCACAGAAACTGGTTTGCCATTAGGGAGAGTTAACTTTGAGTCCAAATCATTTTTCCACTTTGCAACTGCTTCAAATGTGGCTGGTCTGGTGACATCAAAGACAATAAATGCACCCATAGCTTCTCGGTAGTAGACTCTTGTCATGTTTCCAAATCTCTCTTGACCTGCATCAAGAAGAAATATAATTCAGAAACTCTTTACAATTGGAACTGAATAAAATATTAGAACTTCATGTGGGCTCCAATAAGAACAAGTCACTCAATAAAGTCTTATTTCTAGTCTTTAAAAAGTGTGCTAAATATATAATCATGCAGTTTTGTTTTTAATCTTTTGAGCACAAGAAGAAAATTAATTCATTTAACAAGTATTAACTGAGAAAATACTATGCACCATGTAATGTTCTAGAAATGTATTAATATAGTATTCCACTAGCTTTGTGTGGCTAATTAATTAATTATGACTAAATAAAATTTAAAATTCAGTTTCTTAGTCACAATAGCTACATTACAAGTGTTTGATAAAACACATGGCTAGTGGCTACTGCATTAGATGATGCCAATTGAGAACATTTGGATCAACACAGGATGTTCTATTGGACAACATTATTCTGAACATTTGGGATATAATGACTCAAACATAAAAATCCCTGCTGTCATAAGGCTTACATTATTTTACTGAAAAGGCAAATTAATAAACAAATTATGTAGTGTGTTAAAAAGGCATTCGAAATCTACTTTAATTAAAAGTAGTAATAATTGTATATTTACTAACAATAAAGAAATATGACCTGCATAAATGATCATAAAGGTATTATCCACACTCTATTTTATTTTTTGCAATTCTGGGAATCAAAATCTGGGTCTGGCATGTGAAAGACAAGCATTCTACCACTGAGTTACATTCTCAGTCATTATTCTTATTTTGTTTTTATTTCAATTTATTTGGCAATGGCTATTAAACGCAGGGGCACTTTACAACTGAACTACATCTCCAGCCTTTTTTTATTTTTGATTTTGAGATAGGTTTTATTAAGTTGTTCAGAGCCTCACTAAATTGCTAAGCCCAGCCTCGAACTTAGAGTCCTCCTGCAACTTCCAAAGTTGCTGGGATTATAGGCATACAATATCATGCATGGTCATTTGTCTCATTTTAAAGTGAGACTTAGAAAATCTAGGTAACTGGCTCAAATTAAACAAATAGTAAGCTTGCAAAATCAGAATTCAAACCTGAGTCACTTGAAACTAGAGCCCATAGTCATTTACTAACTTTGAATACTTTCAACTACTAAACCATAGTCTTGTACTCTTTCTCCTCCAGGTTTATGTGCCAGGAACATCCTATTCGATCCAACTTAACAGATGTCTATTGGACATCTACTATAATGATAGCAATCTTTGGTACATGCTCAAAATACAATAATGAGCTAGATGGTATCATATATTCCTTCAAGTAGTCCACAATCTATTGTGTAAGGAAAACCTCCAGATGTTGCAAAAAAAATGAATGAGTAATTTTTAAAAATAGAATGAAGACTGGTTTTAGAATTAGTCTTAATCAGCTACAATCAGTTTTTTTCTGATGCTTAGTTTTCTAAGTGAATATTGGAAAGTTTCTTAAACATCCTAAGTGCTCCTCATCAGCAAAAGGGCTATAAGAAAATGTACCACAGGGTTGTCTTATGGATGGAATAAATTAATATATATGAAGCACCCAGTTCAGTACCTTAGTACTAATTAGTATGTATTTCTTCAGCAGGTTAAAAATATAATAGAAAGTATGATACATATTTTCAATCATAGTCTCAGGCTAAAGATTTTGACAAAAAGAAAAATTGCAGATATTTTAACCAAGCAACAAAAGTTAACAAAATCACATCATTTACTTCTGTGTTAACTGAGGACAGGAACTAATGAAAACTGGGCTCATATTTTAGGAACACAAAAACCCCAGAAGTGTGCAACCAGACAGTCTTTTTGATTTGAAACTTTATGTTAAGAGTCTTATGAAGAATATAAAGTAAAACAAATTGGGTATGTGATACATTTTTTTGAAAAGAACAAATTGCTGAAACTGAGGTATATCCAAGAAAATATACGTTAATATACCCCTTAGAATACAAAAATTTCGAGCACAAGATTTTGCAATGGTGAACTTTAGTGTAAATTAAATTTAGTGTTGTGTTGATTATGTTCACAGGGACATTATGAGGAGGTGAAGGACCCCTATGTACCAGTGAAAGTTGATGAAATTCTATAGTTTCAATTCTAGTCTAGGTGCCTATATGCCCAACTGGATATTCTGGAAAGAAGAACTTTTTAATCAAAGACAGCACATAACACTCCTAAAGCATTTCTTACCTAGCTTGTACCACAAAAGTATTTTTTTTAATTTCCCACAGTTATACAGTCAATGAAAGAAAGGGGTAAAATACTTTTCATATGACATACAACCCACAGATGAACTTTCATTTTTTCCAAATGAGTTTTAATTTTTTTTAAATGACTGATGCAAACAGCAATTTCCTTTGATACTGTTCAGGAAAGGCCATGACATATCAAGAGGATTGGCGGGAAAAAAGCCCTCTGTGATCACTCTGAACTCCAAAGGCCTCTAGGCTTTTTAAAGGATGTCTTATGATCTCTTTCAGAGATCTAATCAGATGAAGAGCAAAGTCATGGGTTATTCAATAATCTGCTTGTCCAGAGGTTTTCAGAGCAGAGTAGGAAGCTCTCAAGAATAGAAATTTTACATTTCAATATATGACACAGTGCAAAGAGCAAGGGATAACTTTACACCTTCGTAAAGAATCATAAAGGAGGGCTGGGGATAGCTCCTTGGTAGAGTATTTGTCTAGCTAGTGCAAGGCTCTGGGTTCAATTCCCAGCACCGTTTTTAAAAAAGGGGGAAGTGTGTATGTGCGCATGTGCATGCATACACGTGTGCATTTGTGCTTGTGTGTCACATCAGAACCAAGAAGCTAGCTTATTTCTGGAAAGAAAAGACCTTTGTATATGGAGGTCACTGGGCTAGCCCATTTAGAAAGTTTGTGTTTTTGGCATTCCAGCCAGGGGTCACATTCAGATCAGAGCATTTCTAGCACTCACATTTAATCCCTCCTTTATCAGCTGATAGCCCTCTCTGCCATTTCTTAATCAAAGTGTGAGAAACATGTGACTTTGTGAATGGCTACTTCTGAGCAGAGTGGAGAGTGATGAATTCATCCTGAGTAAATTTACTTAAAACATGACTACAATTTAAAAACTTCCTTTGGCATAGATCATTTGTCTAACACAATTACCGAATGACTGGTGAAGTCCAGGCTTCGTGATTTGTGCAGTTAATACAGTTTTTTGACCAGGAGGAACTTCTATACCACAGAAAACTATACTGAGAATCTGCACTGAAAATGATCCAGTTCACCAAGTAAGGACCCCTTCTCTTAGTCCTCAAACACACACCACAGTGCAATAAATGTGCTCATGACTCAGTTTCCAGTTTCAAGAGGTGTTCCAACGACCAAGCAACCAACCAAATCACAGAAATTAATACAATGGCTGCAGTAATAGTTCCAGGAGCCTTATGGGAAAATCTACTAACTTGAAGAATCAGAAGACATGGGTCTTAATTTTAATCACTGGAAGCCTTGAACAAATCAGAGCAGTTTTAAACAAATGTATTTCTCTCCCTGAGTATTAGTTTTCTTATGTGTTAAATGAAATTCGTGTGTCTGATCTCTAAGAACCCTTCCTGTAATAATTCCTTAAATTAAATGAAACCCTGGCTGTCTTTTGTAACAGACTGAAATGGACCATTTGATGTCAAAGATTCAGCTAAAAATTCACACAAACATCACAGTCATAATGTGTATTTAATGACACTTTCACTTCATAATTAAGGCTCTATAGATGCTCTCAGCAGACACAATCAAGCAGTGAATCTTTCACATAGGCATAAAACCAATGGTAGGAAGCACAGCGGGTTTTCTATTAAACTGAGAATACCTTTTTAACCATTCTGACCTTTAGCAACTAGCTTTGTGAATCTCAGATTAGTCAATGCACTATTACAAGCCTCAGCTTCCTTATTTTGAAATAAGGACACCAGCTTGGACACTATAAGACACTTCCGTTATTGCTTCTGGAAAACTCCCCTTCTTAGGCATCCAGTACTCCAGGTCCTACTCCTCCTGTGTTCCCCAGACTAGCTCATGACATCACCAACAACACAACTGCTCAGAACAGTACCTTCAGTCATCTTCCAACTCAGTTTGCGCTCCCTCATGTAAAGAATTTCCAATGTCCCACCAACACTTCCCCTTCAGAAGTGGCTTTTAACTCTGCTTCCTTCACTCCATCAGCATTGGCTGCTGCTCTACTTCAGCCCTTCCTTGCTCCTCATTTGGACTCCTGATGGTTTTTCTGCACTCTTCTACTTTTCCTGACACTCCCTTAAAGTACTTCATGGCCAACCACACTGAACACTCCTCCATCCTAAAACACATCTTGCATTACTCTCTGGATTTCCCTGTGATTTAAATCTCAGTTCCCAGATCCTGAATACCCTCCTCATGGCTCCTGATGAGTGAACTGTGTGCCCTTCGTTTATGCCCTGAAATCTCAGCCTTCCCTGTCCTGACAGCTGAAATCATTTACCCCCTTCTGCATGATCCCACAACATTTTCCCTATCCTACACCATGAGTATTTATCATGGTGTGTCTTCATTCTTCAGTCTCCACCTGGCATTGAAAATCCTGGAGAGCAGGTTAGTCATGTTTTGATGTTGTGAAACTTGAGGGCTATTTCTTCACTTTTTGGATCGAGTAAGAGCTCATGACACTATGGTGAAAATAAACTCAGATTAAGGTTTCTTCTTCCTCTAAAGTACATTCTCATATATTCATGATACTGCTGCACACTGATGCACTTACTCTGTATTCCACTTTCATTCCCAGTAAATAATCAATAGAAATTCATTAGGAGAGAAAATTAACGTTATTCTAACACAGGTATGTACATACCTATTACAATAAGTTTCGGACTGGAATGTTATGCTTTTGTAATCATTCTCACAATTAAGAAATGATCCCTCAGAATCAATTTATTCCAAACAATACATGCTTTTTGGTCCTGGTATAATCAGAAGATCTAAAAGTGCTACAATGAT